AACTCATACAACAATAATTATCTAACCCAATTAACAATACAGAAAATAATTTCTGCTTCAGACTGCCTATATTTATAAAGAAAATAGAAGGCTATGCTTAACTGAATTCACTATGTTAAATCAACAATTGAAATAATAATTATTGCCAATTTCATTAAAATTGGGAATATTTCTTATGGGTGAAAAATGAGTCATGTGAGGAGAGAAATAACATATTTGAATATGAATTTTAGCTATTAAGCATTTATTTTATACATTTTAGAATTTCGTAAAGTGCCCTTTGTAAATAGTCAATGTAAAGTAATAGGTCATGGCTTTTTAAATTTTAGCATAACTAAATTACCCTCAAAATTTCAAGAATGTAAAGCTATTTACATAGAGAGAAAACTTGAAACTTGTTATTTCTAATGGATGGATGTGTTTAAAAGAACGCAATTTCATGAAGGAATGCTAGCAAAGCATAAGGCAGTTCTTAGAGATCAGTTTATATATATCAGTTATTTAATTTTACCTTAATACCAGGTTACTTCAGACAGTTCCTATGAGTTTGCTCCATTGTTCTATTGTTACTTATATAACCTTGATCATTTAAAATTCATGAACAATTGCTTCATGAACATGTGGCTGCTAGACATTATGCTCATTGACCACGGCAATGTCATCATAACAGACATATTTAGAGAAATTACCTCTAGACATTTTAGGAAGAACTTTTCTCTGGTTTGAAATGAAACCGAGATTATCAATCTAAGAATTAAAAAATAAATTAGTAAAGAGATATCCTCAAAAAACCTCTTTACTATACTTCGTAAATGTAACTATCATCACCCAGGGCACAAGCTGGAATAAAATTAACACATGCTGTGGCATCTGAGCCCAGGGGATATGCCATAACCTGGACAAAATGTCAGTCTGAACTTCAAATTTCCTGTCTTGCAGATTCGCTTCTCAGCTTTGGTGTATTTGAATATTATTAATATATTTGCCCACAAGTAATTGTTTTAGAAATTACTCCTCAGCAACGATATAAAATCTCAAACTGTGATGGCAACACTTGCCAAGAATACTGTTTTTATTGCTTCATTACACCCACTGGGCCCTTTTTATTGTTGAATATAATGGGCAAGTGTTCATTTTCCAAACAATGCAAGCACATCAGGGCAAAAGTGCATTAGAATTAGTAAAGAATAGCAGATGGCATGTGATGTTATCCTACACGTAGCTCTGGAAGTAGGGCTCACTTTCTAGGATGTCCTAGTATCATTTGGAAGGTAGTATCTGCTTAATGAACAATGGGACCCTTCCAACAAGGCACAAGGCAATATAGAATCATCTTCTTAGGTCACCGGTCTGTCTGTTAACTTCTGCTTTTTTAGATACCAAGCAAAACAAATTTATTTAAGTTTGATTTATTGTCCTCCCCTGAAGAGAAACGTGTAAGTACACGTTTAAAAATGTAAGGTTTCTGGGGAGCCTGGGTGGCTCAGTCGGTTAAGTGTCTGACTTCAGCTCCGGTCATGATTCACTGCTTGTGAGTTTGAGCCCCGCATTGTGCCGACAGCTCGGAGCTTAGAGCCTGGTTCAGATTCTGTCTCTGTCTCCCCAGCCTTCTCCAACTCATGCTCTGTCTGTCTCTCTCTCAAATAGAAAATTAAAAAAAAAATTAAAGTAAGGTTTCTGAGGGTATGCTTGTGTGCAGTATGTGTGTGTATGTGGAGAAGGAGAGAGAGACAAATGAATCACTATTTTCCAAGTTGATTTCATATTTTAAGAGTTGATTTTTATAAATTAATTATGGCCATAAATACTTTTAAACCACTCAAAGTGCCCCATTAGTTAACATAAGCATGAGAAATAAATATGTATTATCAATTAATTGAAAAACATATGTTGTTGATTAGTGCTTAACCATTTTATTTTAATAGATCTCAAATAAATGACTGCAGTATATCCACATCACAAGATGCCAGTTAAAAGTTGCTGCTAGAAAAAGGTACTGAACCAAGAAACGAAGAAACTTCAGGAAAGAAAGGCCATATACTTTGTTAAGAATGTACACATGCCTTTTCATATGTGAGGGGATCTTAGATTGTACAATCTCCTTATTTATTACAATCTGGATTTAAGATAACATTAGGCATTGATTCGAGAGCCAGTGCCTGAGTTCAAAACTCAGCCCTGCTACTTATTAGCTGTGCCTCAGTTTTCTCATCTATAAATTTGGATTAATTATAGGATCTAAAATAACCCTCATTGGCAGTGTTTTAAAAATTAAATGAATACTCTTTGTGAAGTGTTTCACCAGTGTATGGGAACTAGAAAAAAAAAAGTATTTCTAAATTGTTAGTATTTTTTTTACACACTTAAAAAGCCCTGACATTTTTATTAGTGTTTTAAAACACAAATTAATTATGAACACTTTTCAAATAGGTGTTGGTGCCAATTACTCTGGACACTTGTTTTACACAAGGCTGTTTGTTGAATACCATGGTGTAGTCCATCCAGCAGGAGCATAAAATGAAATAAGACACGAGGATTTCAGAGGGAATTTACTCCATGGGATCGAAAACATATCAGGTTCCTACAGTCAGCTCATTCTCTCCTGATGCGCATCTCTCCTGGATACATATAAGGAAGGAGAAATCAAAGTCAAAAGATTGCTTGTTGGGGGGCCCGGATGACTCAGTTGGTTAAGCATCTGACTTCAGCTCAGGTTATGATCTCGCGGTTCGTGGGTTCAGCCCCATGTTGGGCTCTGTGCTGACAGCTCAGAGCCTGGAGCCTGTTTCAGATTCCGTATCTCCGTCTCTCTCTGACCCTCCCCTGCTCATGCTGTTTCTATCTCTCTCTCAAAAATAAATGAAACATTAAAAAAATTAAAAAAAAAAAGATGTCCTGTTGGTCATATGATCAGGACAGAGAGTTAAAGGAACCAAGAGTTTTGAGATATTATCAGGACACTGCAGCCTGCAACACCTCTCACAACAGAGATGGTCATACCAAAGGCCAATTCTTTCCTAAACAGATGGTCTCCACTGGATAATACAGTGGAGGAGCTTTTTGTCAGTCTCCTATACTTGGCCATTCTTGACTTATGGGCCATCAAGATTTAGCATGAGTAGTTTAATTCTGAGACATCAATCAGAAGCAATAGTCTTTTTTTTTGAAATTAAAAAAAATTTCAGTATAGCTGACATACAATGTTACATTAATTTCAAGTGTACAATGTAGTGATTTGACTAGTTTATATATTATACTAGTTTATACTCCTCACAAGTGTAGCTATCATCTGTTACCATACAACACTTTTAAAATATCATTGACTATGTTCCTTATGCTGTGACTTTTATTTCCATGACTTATTCATTCCATAACTGGAAGCCTATTTTCCCCCACTTCTCTTCATCCATTTTGCCCATCCCTCCCTCCCCTGTTCCCTCTGGCAACCATTAGTTCCTTCTTTGTGTTTATAGGTCTGATTCTGCTTTTTGTTTGTTTATTCATTTTTTTTTTTAGATTTCACATATGAGTGAAATCATATGGTATCAGCCCTTGTCAATGTGACTTATTTCACTTAGCAAATACCTCTAGGTCCATCCATGTTGTCCCAAATGGCATAATATTTATGCTGCTTAGTATTCCACTGTGTTTAACTATCACATTTTTTCTTATTCATTAATTTATTGTAAATGCTTAGGTTGCTTCCATGTCCTGGCTGTTGTAAATAAAGCTGCAATAAGCATAAGGGCGCATATATTTTTTCAGTTAGTATTTTTTTCCCTGGGTAAATACCCAGTAGTAGAATCATTAGGTCATATAATTTTTTTGAGGAAACTCCATACTGTTTACTGGAGTGGCTGTACTAATTTAAATTCCCACCAACAGTGCATGAGGGTTCCTTTTTTCCCCACATTCTCGCCCCCACTTGTTTATTTTTTTCCTGATTTCAGCCATTCTAACAAGTGTGAAGTGATATCTCATTGTGGTTTTCATTTGCATTTTCCTGAAGATTCTTACGTGTCTGTTGGCCATTTGTATGTTTTTGGAAAAATGTCTATTTGGGTCCTGTGCCCACTTTTTAATCAGATTGGTTTTTGTTGCTGAGTTGTATGAGTTCTTTACATAGTTTGGATATTAACCCCTTATTGTATATATCATCTGCACATATCTTCCCCCATTCAGTTGGTTGTCTTTTTGCTTTGTTGACAGTTTCCTTGGCTGCAAAAGTAAAAGCAGTAGTCTTATCAATTAACACATCCATTGCTGAAGATATGAGATCTGGCACAATTAGAGGAAAATTAATTGGGAAAATATATGTGAAAATCATTTATTAACTCTTAAAGTCCAAACAAATATCAGATTAAAAAAATTATTCTAAAGGCAAAAAACACAGTGTTGCAGCAAAGTCAATAATGGATACATGAAGAGGAATGTAAAACACACTTTCCCAAACTGGACTGCATTTTAGTAGCATTAGAAGGAACAGGGGCCTGGGGTGCCTAGGCAGCTCAGTGGGTTGAGTGTCCAACTCTTGATTTCAACTCAACTTATGGTCCCAGCATCGTGGGATCGAGCTCCACGTTGGGCTCCATGTCGAGCATGGAGCCTGCTTAGGACTCTGTTTCTCCCTTGCACTCTGCTCCTCCCTACACTTACTCGCACTTGCTCCCCACTCCCCTCAAAAATGAATAAAAAAGAAGAGAACAGAGATCATTTGCCTTCCTCCTTCATTTTACAAATGTGGAAACAGAGCCAGAGGGGTGGTGGATTCACACACCTGCAAAATGTTAGGATCAGCACACTTTGATGAGTCTTGTTCTTTATACTGTAAATTCATGTTCAGAACTCTTCAAAGTGATTTGTGGATTTACCAGAACACTAGAGTTGATGTTTAGATAAAATCCAACTACTGACAAATTGAAATTTATGGTTTTCAATATCTCTTAATTCCCATATCTCTTAAATATGAAAACTGAATTAAAGAAAAATCTTAATGGGGTGCCTGGGTGGCTCAGTTGGTTGAGCATCTGATTTAGATTCAGGTCATGATCTCATGGTTCATGGGTTCAAGCCCCATATTGGGCTCTGTGCTGACAACCCAGAGCCTGGAGCCTGCTTCTGATTTTGTCTCTCTCTTTCTGTTCCTCCCATGCTTTCTCTCTCTCTCTCTCCTCTCTCTCAAAAATAAAGATTAAAAAAAAATAAGGAGAAATCTCAAGCTACAAAGAAAGTGAAAAAAAATCACTAGTAGCCCTAAGACCCAACATTTTGCTAAATTGCATTTCACTTGGTCTTAGTCAAGCGACCAAGAAGTGCTTGCTAAATTACATTTCAATTAAAAAGCAACATCCAGGGTCCCTGGGTGGCTCAGTCTGTTGAGCTTATGACTTCGGCTTAGGTCATGATCTGGTTCATGGGTTCGGGGCCCACACTGGGGTTTGTGTGACAGCACAGAGACTGCTTGGGATATTCTCTCTCTCTCTCTACCCTCACCCCACTCTTTCTCTCTCTCTCTCAAAAATAAACAATAATTTTTTTTTTAAAGCAACATTCAAGGGGTATCTAGGTGGCCCAGTTGGTTAAGCTCCTGACTCTTGGCTTCCGCTCATGTCATGATCTCATGGTTAGTGAGATCCAGCTCCCACTGCTTGGGATTCTCTCCCTCCTTCCCCATCTGCCCCTCTCCCATTTGTGCTGTGCAGGTCCTATCTCTTTCTCTCTCTGTATCTCAAAATAAATAAATAAACATTTAATACAATAACCTGCAAAGGGGAAATTATAATTTATATGCTGACTAAAAATTGCTTAACGAAAAATATATATTAATGGTAGAATATTACTATACTTTTATAAGAAACTTTTCATTTCATGAAGAATCTTCATTAGGGAAGTTTTTCATTCTCTGGAGATCAGAACATTTGAAAAGAGCAGAATCTACCTTTTTATCTTTAAAAGGATTTAATTTTAACTATCTTGGATGCATGAAAGCCTATTAAAAAACTAAGAGAAAAGAAAAACACCCATCCAGAGAACTTTCTTTCTTAATGATAGTATTATTTGTACCCTAAATTATTCATGCCATAGTTTAAAGTCATGAATTATTATTCTTTCATTAAGAGAAATGGACAGAAGCTGACAACCACTTTCAATTTAATAATCTTACTTTATATATTTTAAGACACTGTTAAGATTCTTCTTTGTCTTTTTTTTTTTTTGGTCTAAGACAACTAATTTGTTATCATTTAAATTTATGAATCTACCTAATATTTAATGGTCTTTCACATCTCTTTTTAGACCTGTATTCACATCTATCATGTCTCTATTTGGAGCTTAAATCTGAATATAATGCATGTGAGAAACACGAACACAATGAAATCTTTACTAAACTTTTCTACGTATAAAGAGCACCTTCTGTTTATGTGTATAGTTATGTTTTGCTTTAAATTTAACACCATGCATAACTTTTTTATCTATAAAAACTGCTATAATGTAACAAAATCATTTAAAACTTGGATTATTTTTACTGGGTCTCGAATTCTTGAATTCTACAAACTTAATTAACAATCTTCAAGCTTATCATTCTGATAATGGAAAAATATGTTAAATGGTACCATTGTAAAACTATGTAGTTTTGTCTTATTTTTAAAAGTTGTTTTTTAGTTTTGTCTTATTTTTAAATCAATTTCTACTTCTCTTTAGGTCAAATTTGACAGATATATATGAATCAATGTATTTTGTATAGCAAATACACTTTCATTTTATATGGCAAATCTGAACAATTTGTGGACCCTACACTGACGTGTTGAGTGTGTGAAACCAAATCCAGGCTCTGAACAGAAGAGTGTCATAATTAAGTAGTGATGTCTGTCATGGATGTACATCAGGTGATTTAGATCATCATGGGGGGAAAGTATTTTTCTATTTGTTTTACTCAAATACCCTTTATATGTGTGGGGATTCAGAGATAGCTGGGATGTCTTAAATGGAAGCATTTAAGAAAGAAATTTCTTGGGGCGCCTGGGTGCCTCAATCGGTTAAGCGGCCGACTTCAGCTCAGGTCATGATCTCACAGTTTGTGGGTTCAAGCCCCACATCGGGCTGTGCTGACAGCTCAGAGCCTAGAGTCTGTCTTCAGAGTCTGTATCTCCCTCTCTCTCTGACCCTCCTCTGCTCATGCTGTCTCTCTCTCTCTCAAAAATTAAGTAAAACATTTAAAAAAAAAAAAGAAAGAAAGAAATTACTTAAACCATTTTTAAAATCTGTGGGTAAGTTGTTGTAGAAGCTTTTCTTAATTCCTTAGAATTTTGGGTAGGTTCCTAATGTTACTGTTAATTAATACAGAAGAGTTAGTTAATATACTAGTTATCTGTTGCTGTATAACATCACAGTGAACCGAAGAGGGCTCAGATTTATTATCTCATAGCTTCTAAGCATCAAGAATCCAGACATTGTTTAGCTGGGTTCTCTTGGTCCCCTGCAAGCTTGTAGCTGATGAGCGACAAGAGAAAGGTTAAACATAGGGTATCTGTTGTTGGCTAGTTGACATACCCTTACTCAGAGTAAATCTCTCAGTGACATACTGATTACTTTCTGTGGGTGTGGGCTTAAGAACTTTGGAGCAAAACAGCTCTAAACAAAACATAGCATCTGAGAGCACAGGGCTAATGTCTATATGAAATAATGAGTAAGAAAGCTGATGAAGGGAAGTTGTCACAGACCCTTTGATTCCTTTAGGTTTCTAGAACTTCGTTACCAAGATAACAGCCAAGGCTGTGGTCTCATCTAAGATTTGACAATAGAGGAAACCACACTTGCTCATTCATCTGTTTGTTCAGCTATTTATGAGGGCCTCAGTTTCTTTCTGGCTGTTGGCCAGAGACTACCCCAAGTTCCTTACCAAGTGGACCTCCCCATAGGGAAGCTCAAAACTTGTCAGCTTGCTTTTTCAAAGCTAGCAGGGGAAAGGAAGTCTCTGTTCACATAATGAGAATTACAGTCTCCTTGCATGTAATATAAAATAATGTCAACATAATTACATATGTCCCATAACCTCTACCATATTCTATTGGTAGAAGCAAGTTTAGGGTTCTGCCTACACTCCAGGGGAGTAGACTACGCAGAGGTTTGAGGGGGGTATCCTAGGGGCTATCTTTTGTCGGCCACAGTTGGAATGCACAGATTTTTTCAGGAAACTTTTTGTTGATATGAGAAAACATTTCTATGCAATCTGAAGATATTCTGAAGTATCAGGAGTATCTTCTCTAATCCTCTGATACCAGGGTGGGGGTGTGTGAAAGGAAACGCTGTGCTAAGAGTGATTATGCCATTCATAAGAATGGTTATGGTAAAACTGCATGCATATCACAGGAACTTCCATATTATTAAAAAAACTAGAAATGGACAGTAGCTGAAGTCACAGAAATATCAAAATGTAGTTTAAGAAGATAGAATTGGTGAAGAAGAAAAGAAAAAGAAAATCCCATGACTTTAAGCATTATGAATAAGAGCTGTTTCTTAAAATGAATAAAGCTCCTTCTTAAATGAACAGCTCAAGCATCCCACTGCAGAATATGCAAACATAAATCTAAATTGCAACAAACACCACAGTTTTACTCTTCCCTTAGCATGTAACTGATCTTCAAGTCATCCTAAAGTCAATATAACCTACATTTTCACCCTCTTCTCAAACTGCAGAAGACTAGGATGTTCGCTTTGTGCGTGTGCTGATCAGCCAGGTACCTAAAAGAATGGTGCGCACAAAGGAGCTACTTTAAATATGTTTGTCCAATCACTTTTCAGTGATCTTCTGGGTTCCTCCTTCATTTCACTGCAGAATTTTTCACCAGCTATAAGCCCAAACAATCTCTCTCTAATTTAGGTCTTCAGAAGTTTTTCTGGGGCAAACCACTCTTAAGTTTTATATAAGCTGTTTTAGATGCAAAGCAGGATACAGATGAAAGCTCAAAGATACTCGGTGCATTCTCAAGGGAACAAGGTTCATATTTAAAATAGCATCATAAAAAAATACAGCCTGAGAACTCAAGTACATGGCCCATAATCCAGCCTCAATTACCCTGATAGCGTGGCAGGGATACTGGGTGGCATAAATCCAGGGGGCCAGGTTTTGCAAAGGAGGCCCTGAAATCATGACTGATTTAGGAAGAGATTCCTAAAATTAAAAAAAAAAAAAAAAATATATATATATATATATATATATAAGAAGGTCAGAACATAAGAAAATATCTGTCTTATTTATAAAAATAAAATAAGTAATTATGAAGTTTTTTGATAGGAATTTGAAACTTTAAGGGATGACATTAATTACATTGGAATTTAAGATACATCTAACTACTGAATATAGGTTTTAATAGAATGCCTTTTATTAAGAAAAATAAGAATTGCCTTTGTTTGCATTTTTGAAATTAAACTATGAGCTCTTGTTTGGTCTCAGAGATCACTTGAAGAATAAGGTAGGATTTTCTTCATCTGAGCCCTCAAAATAGAAATGGCTGATGCTAAGTTTACAATTCTAAAAACCCACTGCCTGAGAAAGAAAAAGGAATATATTTAAAAATTTCACTCTATCTCTTCCTGACTTTCCAAGTTTTAATTTCGGTATATGAATCCTTGAATATTTAGTAAGCCTTCCTTCACCTTGTGCATAATCTTATTGAAACTGACAAATTTGGTTTAATGCCATGATGTAATAAAAACTGTAATTGAAATAATAATCCATTAACCTTGACTTGTCTCATGTAATCTCCTGTAATATCATTTTCCTATCATAAAAGTAAGATAATACTAATTAAAATGTCCTCAGTTTTAAAGTTCCACAGTGATAGTTAAGTCAGAAAACTAGATAAAACTGTTGCTGCTCATTAATAGAGAACTTGGAGTAACATATGATCATTATATTGATTTACGTTGTCTGCTTTTCTGTGCCATTCCTCCAGTTTATTTCTGATTTTTGTTGCTAGATTATGGTGAATTTATATGGAATTAACTAGATATATTATATATATACATATATATCTATATGTATGTTGCATGCCACTAAAGCTGAAAATTATATATGTGAATATGTG